TGTCTAGTCATTCATTCTTGACTAGCCAGGTCTATGTCAGCACACAGACATCATTGCATGCTTGGCTCCTACAGGCTTTTCTATGTCCCGCTGCCCTGCTCCATCTTCTCTTTTTTCTTCCTGTTGGCTCTCTGCTGTTTTCAACACCTCTGTAACCTGTTCCACCCAGACAGCTCTCTCCAGAAGGGGAGAGTCAGCAAGTGCATCTCAGCATCACTACTTCTGGCTGTGGTGAAGGGGGTTAACCATCAAGCAGGGACAACCAGCAAAGGATGTGAGACATCAAACTGAAAGAAGTCTGATTCACATTCATCTTGTCCTTGGAGTAGGGATGACTCCATGGAACATAATTTGAACATAGAATGACTACATGATACACTTCCTAAGCTTCCTCAAAGATTCTTCTCAGAAAAGGGAGGGAAACTCAAAGGTTTACAATGGAAGGAGGGAGCACAGCAGGCAGGGGCAGAGTTGGAAATGCAAGAAGTGGCTTAAGAGGCAGGTCAAGCAGAAGATACTGCACAAGGGATTCCACAGAAGAACTTGCTCTCACAAATGCATAATATGATGTGTGTCTGCAGAATAAGAGAATAGCAGCATGTGACTGGCTCCTGATCTTGTGACATCAACTGAACTTGCTGGATAAAAATGTTGGGCTGTTGAATCAGAAGGGGAAAAAACACAACCAAGACTGTGCTGCTGACCACCGCAAATAAAGTTGTATGAAATCAAGAATAGCTATGTTGACCCATGAAAAAAGAATCCAAACTCAACAAGAAGTATCCAGTCAAAAGGATACACAAATATGATGAATTTTTGCACAATCATTTCTGGAATTTGTGTTGATCCTAATAAAGATATTGCTCCCAGTTTACCTTGAAGAATTAAATTCCCCTCAAATACACAGCTGTTAATGTGCTTCCAGGAATTTAGTGTGAGTGGAATGATTCCATAGGCAGGGGTAGGGAGAATATCACAAAGCAAATAGCTGCAGAGGAACAGTTAACCTCTCTTGCCCATACAGTGGTACTTTGGCTCACAAATGCCTTGGTTTATGACCAAATCAGGTCGCGAACAAAAATTTCATGAAAATTTTGACTTGGGTCGAGAACTCTGCTTTGGGTGGCGACCAAGATCATGGCCATCTCCACCCCCCGCCCCCAAGTAGGGAGATGGCCACAATTGCAGTTGCATTTATGCAGGGAAGACGTGCGTGATCATGGCCGCACTCTTGCAAGAAAGACAGGCACAATCTCGGCCATCTCCCCCACCCCCTCCAACCAGCATGATCAAGGCCACCTCCCCACTCCTCCAAGTGACTATGCAAAACACAAGTGACTATAGACAGATTTTTCACCAAAATTGACCCTGCAGCTAAGGGACAAAGAAGAGAGGAAACCCCTGGAAGAGATCTCCCCAATGTCCTTATGGAGGGGGACTCTCCCTCAAAACAATAACTTCCTCCCCACCCCCAGGTTAGTGTTCTCCACTGTACTGTACAGTACTTTGTCACTTTGTTGTTCTTTCTTACTTTGTTGTGGTTTGTCACTGTGTTTCAAATTTTTCTGATTAAAACAAGTATTTACAGAAGGGATTAACCTTATTTGCATTGAACCTTATGGGGAAATTTGACTTGGGTCACAACCAATTTGGGTCACAACCAGAGTTGTGGAAGAGATTAGGTTCATGAACCAAGGTACTACTGTATAGTGTTGTCCCAATCCATATCAGAGTGGGATGCACTGACTCCAGAGCAAGAACAAAAACTCAGGTGGGATTCATAATGAATCCTGTATTTAGCCCAGTAGTTTTGCATTACTTTCTGATGGCTTCCCCCCAACTCATGCATACATGTAATAGAAAGTTTGTTCTCTGCATTAAGCAGGAAAAACAAGGCCTGTTATCAACTTCAGTGTACATGATATCAAATTGCTATGTTCTCCTTTAATTATTTAAAGGGTAGTTCTGTTGCTACCCATCATCCCTGAAGATTTCTCAAGAACAAAGCAATTCTACAAGGCTGTGAAGGACAGTGGCAATATATACAGGGATCCTTAATTATATAGATAAACAAGGACAGCCACTGCCCTGAAGGAGCCTACATTGTCATCTGAGTTCTTTAAATAGACATATGTGGATTTGGATGAAGAGCAGAATTCTGTCCTACTCAGCATGTGGGAATCAGTAGTGCTATTAATAAATGTGCTACTCCTCACAGGAAGAAGGGTTGTTGCTGAAACATGCAATAACTATGAGCCACATCCTCCACTTCATGTGTATCCACAGTTGGGTGATCTCATGATTGGTGGCATTGCTTCTTTGTCCATCATTGTTCCTGATCCATTAACCTTCATGGGAGAACCCCCACTAGCCTTGGTTGATGAACTTTCGTAAGGAGTTAATACATTGTGTGTGTGTGCACTTTATTTATTCATTTCTATATTAGATACTCTATTGATCAGCTTGTCACCTGAATATGTCATACCAGAAGCATCCTCTGAACAATTGCTTGGCACACAGAGAAAGTTCATATTTTGAAAGGGATGTGGAAACATTGTTATCAGCATAACCAGAAGGATGTGATTTGTTGTGAATTAAAGCTTCTTCACAATTGTTTTATTTCTGCTTGGAATTCTCTGTAGTGGTTCTGTTTTCATGGGTTTCCTCTGAGAATTCCTGCCTTGCACACATTTCTTCAGGATTACTTCCATTCCTCTTTTCTATCTCTTGCTCTTTCTGTTAATTCACCTCTCCCTTTTTGATTCTGCAGTCTCTTAAGAAAGTTGGATATGACCAGTATTCATTGAATCAACTCTTCTGGGGAAGTAGACTTGTCCCTCCCTCCCTCCCTTCTTTCCCATAGGAGCTCTTACAGACTCCCTACAGAATGTGCTGTTCTGGGGCAGGATGGACAGAGGGGAGTCCCCAAAATCAGATGGAGAGTTTCTATCATGAGAGAAGCCCTTCTTCTCATGCAAGTTCCTGGTCTTTAGAGAAGACAGATACAGAATCCATTACAGGACAAATGTTCTCTGTTAGAATGGAAAACCATTGCATTACATGTCCCCTTGTTGCTTAGAATGGGTTGTATTCAGTGTGGTGAACCCTGCACTCTGTGGTTGACCCCATCACAGTAATGTAACTGTGTTCATATGCCTAAAAGTTATTTCTCCCAATAAGGGTGATGATATCATCAGACTTCTCCAGGGAGTCCTTCCTT